TAAATCTGATTTGTTTTTTATAGCATTTCATTTAGATAGAAGAAATTCACCACCAAATAGTTTGACTCCATGTTTAAAGATTCGAAATATGTTTGATCCAGTTATGTAAGTATTACAATCAGGCATATTTGTGATTTTTATTTACACTATTTGGCTTAAAACTGCATGTATTCTTATAATGCTGTGGGTGTAATTGAAAGTCTGTATTCATTTTGAATTTTTTTCTTTTATTAAATCCCAAGCAAAAGTTTGACTGAATGGCACAGATGTACAAAGACCCATAAAGCTTTTGTAAATCTTTGTATTCACTTTGAATCCTCATAACATATAAAGAACTTGAGGCAGGTTAATGACATAAAGTAACAAACAATACTTTATTAAATTTTAAGCATGATTCATCAATTTCACTTGTTAATGTAGTGAAGAATATTTTTGCCTTTTAGAGTGATTGCCAAAAGACAGCTAGAAAATGGTGCAGTCAAAAGGTATAACCTTAGAATCCATATTTCACTTCAGACTGTAAAATAGTTTTTAGATTTAGTTTAGCTGTCCCCTGATATGACAGATAAAGCCCTTTTTTAAAAAAGCCCTGAAAGTATTTCATTGCGCATAAAACAGCCTTAGATCTCATCTAATAATTCATTTCAGAAATTACTATAAGATGAGAAAAAGTAAAGCCATGCTGTTATGTTGAGCTGTGGGGGACTCAGGTCAATAATTTCTGACATTGCCAGTTAAACAGAAGATCCAATGCTATTATGGTCTACTGGACTCTTGTAGAATATTTTGCTGAGTTTACACACCTATAATATTCAATAACGGAACTTAGAAAAAATAGGGTATACAGATGAATGTCCATTTTGTATCTGTGTATTCAAAGTGGTTAGGATAGATATATAGTTGCATTCTCTTAATGAATAGAATGATTTGTTCTAATGGTGTTTGTAAATAGGATCTCAAGTCTGCATCTTGTACAGCAATTAACCACTAAGAAGAATATATGCAGTGTGTTATTTGTTGAAACTGTACTTCAGATTTGATTTGAAACTGTCTCATCGCTGTTTATCAATAAAATTTTTGAAAAAAAAAAGATGAGAAATAACTGACAAAAATTGTAAATGTAGGGAAGCGTAATCAGCACATGCACATATACCTTGTTTTGCAGAGATAATACAAATAACAGTGTCATGATAGCTCCATAGATAGTTATCTCATTCTTTGGTAATTAGGGAAAAAGCACCTCTATAGCAGTTTTACCTGGCATGAAAATTTAGAATTTAAAGCCAGATTGCTATTCCTTCTGCCTATGTTTCACAAGAAAAATATGCATTACAGTAGCATAAAATGTGAACGTTCTCATTATTATGACTGTGCAAAAGGTTGTCCTATGTCACTTGCTTTCATTATTTTGGAATAGTTAAGCTCAGATTTTAGTATCTATGCAGAATGTTCTTAATTTTAAACAATTTGGAAATGTCATTAAAAATAAAATATTATTCAACTTTTGAAACTAATGAGTTAATAATAGTTTACAAAAAAAGAAACAAGTCCATAGGATTTTAAACATGATGATGACTCAACAACCCATTTGTTCTGCTGTGAAGTGAGAAAATGAGGACTTGTAACTGAGTAGAAATACAATTGCTGTTGTTTTTTTTATTAATTTTTAGGGAAATAGGAGATCAGTGGCATTTGGCAATTCAAGAAGCAATTTTAGAAAAATGCAGTGATAATGATGGCATTGTTCACATTGCAGTGGACAAAAATTCACGTGAGGTAAAGTAATTTCTAGTATTGAATTCCGTGTTTTGGATTTGTTGCTATTAAATTGAAATTATTCCTTTCTTTTTTCTGTGTTACAGGGTTGTGTGTATGTTAAATGTCTGTCTCCAGAATATGCTGGAAAGGCTTTTAAGGCTTTACATGGCTCTTGGTTTGATGGTAAGCTATTTGAATATTATGGATGTCTTGAAAAGATAATTATGGTTTAGTGTTAAACTATAGATTTTAATTTGAAGAATTTGAAGTTAGTTTTTTTCAAATAATCTTAGGTGATTTTTCGTTTTGTGGTTATATATACTTACCACAGTTAATTTCTTTCTACAAATTGATTAAACATGTTTTTGCAGATTTAAAATATTATTTTTATCTTACAACAGGGAAATTGGTTACAGTAAAATATTTACGACTAGATAGATATCACCATCGCTTTCCCCAAGCTCTTACTTGCAACACTCCCTTGAAGCCATCAAATAAACATATGAACTCTATGTCTCATCTTCGCCTTCGGACTGGCCTAGCCAATTCTCAAGGAAGTTCCTGAAAAGATACTCTTCACTCCTAGGACTGTTATTTACAATAGGAAAATTCCTGTTTGGCTTCTTGTCTTCCTTTCTAAATGCTTTTTGTACATAATATTTTTATTGCTGAATGCAGCTCTGTTTGAGAGTTCCAGAAATCTTAAGGTTCCAAAGGGATTTAACAATGAGGCAGCAATACTAAGTAGGTAGAATAATTATTTCATTCAGATTTTGGAGCTCAGTTGGCCAGTGCATTTACAATTTTGCATGAGGAACACTGACTTTATACACATTTTCAGATATGGTGGTTATATTTTTGCACCAAAAAGTGCTTGGATAACCACACAAAAGCATGGTGAAGAGACTTCTTGTATTTCCATAATTTCTTGTGAGCTAATGTGAATTTTTATATACAGTCATCTGCATAGTTCCTTACAGGCTAATGTGGTAATACTGTTAATTGCCAATTTAACCTTAAGTTTCTGTTGCTTGTAAGAGATTGATTTGCTACAGCTGGAATATGGGAAAATGTATTTGGTTTTAATGGTTACATCATATATGTGTAAGTGGATGTACATGTACTTAAACTGGCTTTTGTATATATGTATACATGCTGGTTGTGGTGAAAGTAGTCTTGTTTTGTGAGGATGTCTGCATAAGCAGTAAAATAAGCTTTCTATTTTATTCATAATTTGTATATGTACGTATGTGTGTATATATATGAATATATGTATATATGTGTATACACACATATATATACACACATATACATATGGCTGTACTATTACTAGATTAAACAGCTGAACACCTGGAAGTATTAGATAAAAGCTTAAAGTATCTTTTATAGATTTTTATATTAAAACATCTGAGTATGATTTTGTGTGAAAGTTCTGACACCAGTTGTAGATTCAAATTTATGTGAGCAATAAAGAAACAATTGGCAGATATTGGAAAATATTTTATGAAAAGTTGTATTTATTAATACTAGGGCTGTGACAGTGCTGTTGAAATTAAGTCATTTTGCTGTTGGAATTAAGTGATTTTTCTCAGTCTGTTTATAATTTAATAAAACATTAGCATCCTGTTACATGTCAAGTTTAAAGCAGGGCACATTGTTGCAGTGAAGTGTATTAAACAAATTATACTTGTAATTTTGGGTCATGAAAGTTTGCAACATAGTAAGTACACGAATGACCATTGGTTTGTGCCTCAGTATTTAATTTGTTCCAGTAAAGTTACTTTATTACTGTATGATTTCAGATTAAAATAGTTGCTGAGCAAGGTGTATTTGTTATCTTAACAATTGGCTTTTTAAAAAAATTTATTGTCAGTTCAAGTGAATATGTGAAACAGCTGGAATTGTACCAATTTTAATTTTGTTTAACCTTTAGTTGCCTTTTTATTTTATTGTATATGTTGGATTTGCAGCATGAACTTGCACAGTTACTGCACGTTTTCTGGTTAAGTAAACATGATGCACACTATTCTCTAACAGAAAACCTTATTGTGCCTTACCTATGTGCTTTTGTGGGCACCATGTTTATGAAGAATAAAAATGATTTGTTATCTGAAGAGAATAAATTTTAAATTCTCAGTATATGTCTCATGCTAAAGTGTGAAAATATAAATATATATATAATATATAAAGTAACCAATCTTTCTGTATTTTATGTGCATCATAGTGATTTATCTGAACTTAAGTGATCCCTACCTTGTAACCTGTTGCAAGAGTGAATGTAAAGCATAATTGTGACATTTTAACAGGTCGCCTTTTGATGCAGATGCATCTTTTTCTTGCTTTTGAAACATATTTCATGTAAACATTGTACATTTATTATTGTAAAATATACTATTATGCAGCTTATTTTACCTGAAACTGTTAAGCCGACCAAGATTCCTCCCTGCAAGACAGATGGGAATATGTATAATAATTACATATTTGAAGCTCTGAAGTTTGATGTAATCTGTTACTTGTCCTGTTTAAAAAAAAAGGAAAACATTCTAATTAAAAATTTATTAGGTTTTTTTAAATGTGTCTTTGCCTCAAAAAATTTTTTGTATGTATGAATGTATGTATGTATGTATGTATGTATGTATGTAATATCGGTCTTGCTTGCTGGCTTTTCTGCCTCCTACCTGCCTACCTCCCTACTTGCTTGCTTGCTTTCCAGCTGTCTGGATAGCTAGTTCCTTCCCACTTCCCTCCCTTTCTTCCCTCTCTTCCTTTCTTTTCTAACCCCCCTTCTGTCTTTTTTTTTTTTTTTTTTTTTTTTTCTTTCTTACTGTGAAAATAGATACCTTCTTTTGGGGGGTGTATTCTTAAATCAACTTCTTTTGGAGATTTATGAGTACATGTGTGCATTATAAGGCTGATGACATAAAGTTACATTTAAGCCAACTATTTAATATTTTGGGTTTCTTAATATGTTTTTATTCAGCTTTCAGGTGTTTAGATCAAAGTGGGGCTAGAATACAAATTAGCTACAATTCCATGACTATGCACTATTTAGTTCAAGTAGAATCATAGACTTTATTAGAAATGAAATAATTTTTTTATATATTCTGACACAAACTATCTCACCATAAAACAACAGTTTTTGGGTTAGCTACTTTGAAAAGCATTTGTTTAGGTTTTTGATGTTTTAATCAAGTAAAACAACTTGATTCATTGGTCCTATGTAGACTTAGTTGCTAACAAATACTGGCAAATACTAGCTTGTTAGGGATGCAAAGATGAAAAACATATAGCCCTGAACACAGGGTGATAAAATGATGTTCTGTAAGTATAGAGAAGGTATCTTTTTTTTTGGTGGAACCAGGGATTGAGCTAAGGCCCTTGCACTTGCCAGGGAAGCACTTATTCCACTGAGCCATCTCCCTGGCCCTGAGAGGGTATTTTAATAGAGGAGACATTAGGACAAGTAAGCTAACAGCTAAACCATTAATTTATTTTTACATCTGTTAAACAACTCTTAAATTATTTAGGTACCTGGATAGAAGTGTCTTTTCCTTGAGTTCTCAGGGGAGAGATTCAGTTCTTATGACAAGATGATAAAGGTTAATCTGAATACTGTGTCATTATAAAATTTGTATTATATTCTTGCTTGATGGTATGTAAATTCCTGAATAGGAATCTTGTGAATAATGAAATCTGTTATTGTAGTCCTGTCTTTTCAGTGTACTCACAGTCTGAATGAGAAGTTATGATTTCTAAGTGAACAGTGTTTAAATGTGTGATATGCTCCGAATATCCCCTTTGGTAAGATCAGCCTTGCAGTTCTCCCTGCTTTTAGTGATAGCAAATTATTGTAGGTCAACTATATGTCTTCTTCAGCCTTTTTTCTAGGGTTTGCTCATTGGCACCACATGCCACACCCAGGCATGGTGGCGCACATCTGAAGTCCCAGTGCTCAGGAGCCTGAAAATAGGATCACTGTGTCCAAGCTGCATAGTGAGACCCTATACCAAATACATAAACAAGAAAAACATTATTTTGGGTCTTAAAATCTATGTTGGGACTGGGGAGATGGTTCAGTAGAATAAGTGCTTCCCTAGCAAGTGCAACAGTCTGAGTTCAATCCCCGGTTAAGGAAAAAAAAATCTATATTTTTTTGTAGGAATTTTAGGAATTTTAATTTTCTGAGGATTGTTTTACACATAGTTTTGATACATTGTATTTCGTTTGCATGTCATAATATTTTCTACTTTTTGATTTTTTTCTTTGCTTTATGAGTTATTAGAAGTATGTTAGCTTGTAAAACTTGGAAATTTTCCAAGTAAGCTTTTGCTCTGGGCTTCTGGTTTTAGGCCATGAGAGTCTGCTGCATGATTTGTTTATTTTTAGATTTCTTATTTTATGATGTATAGCATGGTCTTGGTAAAAATTTTATGTATACTTAAAAGAAAGGGTTTTCTGCTGTTGATGGGCCAGACTGTTCTATAAATGTAAATTAGGTAGAGGTGATTGACACCATTATTTAAGTCTTCTGTAAACTTAGCAGTTTTCTATGTGCTTAATTGAGAGAAAATATTGAAATCTCTGTAATTGGAGGTTTGCCTGTTTTCTTCTTTAATTCAGGCTTACAGTGTGATTTTTATAGGAGAATTTAAGTAGATTTTTAAATTCAACCGAAATCTTAATGTTTGCCTTTTAATTGTGTATATATATCATTGATTTTTAATATTACTGATTTTATTAGGTCTAAGTTTAGTATGTGTATTATTTATTGCATTTGTTCTTTTTTCTTTTTTATTCAAATTATTTTTGATTAGTGCAGTATTTCCATTTTACTTATTTTTTTTTCAATCTGATTTGTTTTTAATTAAGTATTATGGTCACATACAAATTTGTGCTCATGTTGTACCTTCCTCACTTTAGTCCTTCTAATGAGCTGACAGGAAGCACCACTACCAATCACACATACAACAGTAAAAGTTTTAGTCTTGTGTTTATGAATAGCTGTTTAAATACTACCATGAACAGTAACTCAGTCTGACCTAAAGAAATCAAAAGTCGAACTTGCTGTTATATCATGCTAACTCTTAAAAGGATCTGAATTTACAGAACTATAAAATGTGAGAAATGTTAAATATTCTTTATTTGGTATTATACATACACCACACTAAAATTCCTTTCAATAAGTAAAAAGTAGCACTTTTTAGATATAGGGCATTCTAATTAAATTGGCATAGTCAAGACTAAAAATACAGACATAGCTTTCTTGTCTTCAACCACTCCCTTTAACAGGCTAATAAACACAAACTGAAACAGTGGAATCTTGGTTTTGAAACAATGAAAGGAGTCTCTTAGTATTTAAATATATTCACATAACAGTTATATAAATCTAAAACCAACCTTCAGTAGTTTTGAGATGATATTCTCAATCTTTGTGAAAAGCTGAACATTACTAATCAAGTCCAACCAAGTATTTAGAAGGGAAAACAGTGATAGTATTTACTGAACTGGAATTACTATCAAACCTTGAAAAAAAAATGATTTACATTTAACTACAAGCCAATTTTATTCAAATCAGGACTGTCCAACAAAAATACTCTATCAGCCACTCATGATCTGAATTCTGGTGTATGAGATTAAATTATGGTACACATACAAAAACCATGAGACATTTCTGTTCTGTAATAAATAAGGCAGTGACTATTACTCATTAGTAGCCTTTTTGAGGTAAGCTATTAAGTCTGCCCTTTCTCCCTTCTTCTTGATGCCAGCAAAGATCATTTTTGTTCCTGGGATGTACTTCTTGGGATTCTCCAAATACTCCATCAATGTATCCTCTCCCCAGGTGATACCTTTGTTCTTGTTGGCATCTGTGTAAGAGAAGCCAGCAGTGTGACCTGTCTTCCGCCCAAAGAGACCATGGGGATTTGGCCCAGTCTTGTACTTGCCTCCCTTCTCAACAGTATGGCACTGGGCACACTTCTGTACAAAAATTTTCTTGCCTTTCTCAGCATCACCCATTTTTAAACCTGCTGCAGCTTCCGCGCCGGGTGGTCACAGGTCTTCCCTCGTTACCACAAGGAAAGTTCTAGGGCAGAAGCCTGACGTCCCGCTCTCTCCGTTTTACTTATTTTAAATGGCTATCTTATATTTGTTGGTATAATTGGAGTCTACACATTGTGAAATTACCATAGTCAATGCCCAACTTACACTATTTCATTTATAGAATATGGACCTATACAATGTGGATATTTTACCCTTATTTTTTGTTAAATTTGCTGTTATTTTTATTAATGTACGTGTGCAGTACACACTGATCACATTCATTGTGAGGAATTAATACACAGAATATATTGCAATTCTTATTTTCCCCTTCCTTTTCACCCATGCCTTTTTCTACCAGCATCATATTCATTTATTTCTCTAATAAGCCCTTCCAGTCAATTATTCATACAGATTAACAGGCCAAAAGTATAAAACACATGAGACAATTATACTAA